TGTAATTTGAAAAATTATTTATATATTCAAAAATAATAAAGGGTGAAATTGAAATTCGTTTATAATTTTATAGCTTATTCTAAAAAAAAAAGTAATCAAAAGCATATGGACTAAATGTGAAGGAAAAAAAAATTGAAGAGGATATTCTAAAATTTTGCAGAAGCTAGTGCAAAATTAGTGCAAAATTAAAAAAGAAGAGAAAAAGAGAAAGAAAAGAAAGGTAAAAGAATAAAGAGATGGTTGTCAATATAAAATCAAAGGCTATTATGATACAAACGCCATATCATTAAGTTCAGGGCTCTGAGATCTTTCAAATATTGCCCTACAAGGTAATATCTGGTGATTGGATCACATCAGTGCTTGAACAACACGGGAGTATTTACATGCTAGTGTGTAACATACACATCACTATATTTTTATTTTAAAGAATAATATCAAATATATAACTATTACAGTATTACCTCTAAGAAATCTTTAAATCTAGAACAAAACTAATATATATATATATATATATATATACATATAAAAGAGTTGTATTATTCTTATCTTTAAAAGCACCAAAATAATTGCATTATTCTAAAAACAAATGATAAAAGAATTGGTGAGTCAAGTATTAGAATTATTTATTCCAAGGCCAAAACTTTAATTTTATTGCGCATTAAAAAAATAAAATGACATTCATAACCTATGCAATATATCGAAGATAATTGTTTCATGTTGAGAAGACAATCTCACTTCTAAACCTTAGGTCAATGCTTCTTCTTCTTTTTTTCATTGGCAAATAAGTAAATACACTAGTACACTAAATAGGCAAAGGAGCCTTCACCAGCTGCAACTTCTCTTTTAGACTAAGTAATTTCTTTTTCTTTTTCTTTTTTCGTTTTTAATTTGACTCTCCTAATGGATGTGGTCAAACTGCTTTATAGAAAGTAGAAGCTATTGAGAGTTGACTATGGATACGATAAGGTGAATATGATCATAGTTTTAAAAATAACTTAAGGGAGAAAAATAAGGGAAGTGTGAATTTTTTTCTTTGACTTGCTTGTGGTGCAATTCAGAATGCGTTGACCACTGACTCCGTCCTAAGATGGAATGGATAGACACGGAAGTCATTAATTCCTGCATATATAGCACGTGTCATTTTAATCCAACTCTTTTTCTTTTTTCTTTTTAATATTGAAAGGGTCGAGTTAATATTTAATTTACGGCCGTAAAAGGCCTGAATCCCTTTCAAGAAAACGAGATTTCCGTCTACGTGGCGTCCTAAAAATTATTTAAATAATATTTCTTCTGTAAAATTTAAGGATGCATGTCTTAAGAGGTGGAAAGGAAAGATGTTATTCTACCTCATTAACCTTCTCAAAATGGCACACCAGCAACACGATCGATGAAGACGACGAGGGCTCAACAAGCTGAGGTGGAGAAATCTGAGCACTTATCTCCTAAACTGCTTGAGAGGAGATTTTTATGATAATACTTATCCATACAGACAATATATGGAAATTTAGCCTTGCAGAATAAATATGATAGTAAAGAGGTTAATTGTTGCTAAGAAATATAATGCGAGCTGTGTTTTCGATGAGGGCAAATCCATCACACTCCAAGCTCAAGACTCCATAATGAGAGCATCAAGACAAGCAAAAAGAGATTTCCTTAGAGGCATTCATTTCTCGCGTTCTTGGGGAGAAAGAGGCCAGAGGGCAAGATGCAGTCATGGGACAAGAGAGCTTTTATCTATGTTAAGAGTGGGCAAATGGCTTGAGTTTGCAAATTCTGGATACATGAGCCTAAAGGCTAGGCAAATCTAAGAGGAGCCATTTGCGGCAATGTGTCACAAGGCTGAGATTACAGAAGAAGAGACAAAAAATAAATGAAGAAGAAAGAAGACTTCTCACCAGCAGCGAAGACAACTTCCAAAAATAACGTAACCGTTAGTAGCTGTTGTATTTAAATATGTTCAACACGACAGCATTTTATTTAGTGGATTTTCACCACTAGTACGATGCGTTTTAATTAGTGTAGCCCGTTAAATGTTAAAGCCACGAGTGGCCAGTAAAGACGATGAAGGAAATGTCATTCTTCTTACGAGAATGCTGTCACAGAATGGCAGTGGACAAGCAGAAAAATGATTGAAGAATGAATTTAATGATTTATGTTCTCTCTCTCTCTCTCTAACAAGCTCTCATCTTCTACCTCTGGAGTTGGCTAACATCCTCTCCTTGCTCAAGATCACCTGGAGAGCCTCCAGGTTGCAACCATCCATATTCAACTTGCACCAAGTGGTATCAGAGATACTGATCTTTGGACACTAGCTACAGCACTAGAAACGAGCTTCCAATCTCCGAAGATTGGATGCTAGCTTTAAATTTTGATAAAAATGGATGAAAATGCTCCTGTTTTATCTAAGCTAGAAACACAACTTTTGATGAAGAAAATCAAAGGAATATGAAATCAAAAAACACTCTAATATTATAAATTATTTTAAATAAAATAAATATCAATAAACAAGCAATGATCAAATCCAAAGCAAAGACTACCTTGAAAATTTAGAGAGTCGGCGTGATTTTTGAAAAGGAAAGATAAAATAAAGTAAAATTGATTCTCGACGCCAAATTAAAAATGATGAAGCCACACTCACCGTCTAGGAACGGAAAGGCCACCGAGAGAATTCTATTGTCACCTTGGAAGCCATGGTTAGGGTGCCCAAAGCTACTGCATGCCACCAGAAGATTGTGGGATCGCTCAAATGCCGCCCTTTTTTTAAATAATATTCTACATTTACTAGAAGACTTAAGTGCCCCTTTGTCAAATCAATTATAAACAAAAAACCAGAATGAAAATACAAGCATGCCCCTGCATGCTGATTTTTCCTTTTCTTTTGTTTGTAAGGATAATTTTGTCAATTTATTGTTCATAAGAAAAATTAAAAAGACAATAAACCCCTTTATGAAAGCTATATATCTTTTTAAAAGTCATTTTACCATGTTAAACAAATATGAAAATCAATTTGTTCTCAATTAATTTGATAATATACAATTTATTCTTAAAAAAAAGATAGTATTATCCCAAAAGCAAGACATGTTAGTTTTCTCTAGAAAAGCAAAAATATGATTATATTATTCCAGTTCATGATGTTTTGTGTCTTATACTATAATTAAATCTCCCCCCTACAAAAAACTGTGGGATCTCTCATATGCCTTTTTTTTTTTTTAATAATACTCTATATTTATTAGAATAATCAATTGCCCCTTTGTTAAGTTAATTATAATCGAATAACCAGAAAATACAAACATGACCCTATATAATGTTGATTTTTTTAAAAGGGTATTTTGATTTGTAGCATGAAAAAATATGTAAGTTAGAACTAATATATAAAAAATAGATTGAATGAGTACAAAAAAAAAGCATTATATTATAATAGCAATTATTAATATATTAATACGATAACTAATCTTTCATAATCATTTAATTATGTTCTGAAAAGTACTCATACAATGTTTATTTCAGCTCTAATATAATTAATATTTTACATGGATAACAGTTATCAGGTCATGATTTATCTTTTATCAATTCAAGTAGAATTTGATAATAAACATGGATAGATAAAGAGATTATAATATAATGTTATTTGACTTGGAATAACAGTTGTTTAAGATCAACATCCCTATTAAATTAGATGTTGTACAAAAAGTGAGATGAATGATCAGAATGAATAAAACATATACATATAATAAATGAAAAACATTATGAACGGTCAGATTGAATAATAAAACATATACATATAATAAATGGAAAACATTTTAAATTTTATATTTACATGTTTTTTGCATATTATGTTGAGAATTATTTAGACATTACATAATTTATTGATTATCATTAGATGATTTGCTGCTATAAATCAACATATTGCATATCATTCCGTTATTTACTAATCTAGTTAGAATGAAGTAATTATACTGTCCCTCGAGGTAAAACAGGCTCATATATATATATATATAACTGCGTTAAAAGCATTCATTATTGTGAATCGCTACCATTTCATGAGATAATGACCATTACGTTATATGTTGTTTATGATGGGCAACCTTCAATTACTTGGAACTCCTGTGTTTACCTGATATCAAATCTCTGTCTTTTATTTGATTGCAATCAAAACTTGACTCAACCCATGGCTGAGAAGTCATGTTCAGGCTTCAAAATTCCTATACAAAGAAACCAGTTGATTAAATTTGAAAGCATAGTAATTGATTTGTGGTGCTGACTTGAGATGGAAAGCGTTGACTTTAAGGTCAGCATACAATGTTATGAGAGGAATTGAGCAAGTTAAGATTGGGCCAATCTTAACTTCAGGCTCAATCCATCTGCGGCTCACCCATTCTTCTGAGCCCGATTGTTTTAGTAACATGGGTTTTTTAACAAGACATGCAATATATAATATAAATTTAAATTGTAAACTCGAATGGTATGTAAAATATTTGAACTGCTTATATATTAATAATTTTAATAATATAAAATAATAAAAATTAAAAATTAAAAATTCAAACATCTTTATTTTATTTATATTAATTACTCTATTTCATGAACAAATCAATCAATTACTTACAATAAACAAGTCCTTTTAAATTTTAATAAATCATTTAACATTAATTATTTCAAGAATCATATCAATTTATAATTTTTATTCTATATATTTGCTAATTAAAACAGAATAACATATCAATTGATATATTAATAATTTACATAAAAAATAAATAGATATTTTAATTTTACAAAAATAAAATCAATAAAAAAATTATAATAATTATAATTAAAATCAAGCCCTTGATTATTAAATCACACAAGTTTTACAAGATATAAATTTAAAACAATAAAAATATATATTATCAAAATACATAATTTTATATTTTTTTAAAACTTGTAAAATCAATCTGATATTACCACCTAAATTTAACCAATTTTACTAATTTTAAAGTTTTAATTTAATTTGGTTTTGCCTTCGAAAAAACTTGAATTTTTTTTTTATTGGAATATGGCATTTCCATTCGCGATTGCAATTTGAAGTGCAGTTTCAGCCACCGAATCCCTGAGTATAACCGGTTGCAGTAGCAGGATTAACCTATAAAGACATTGAAAGTAACATGTATATATATACCTATATAATTGTACTGGATTGGATTTAACCCATAAATAAAACCCCTCTGAAAGAAACACCTAACAGCGATTGCCCAGCCACCATATCAGAATCCTTTCAAGTCCTCCAGCATCAAGAAGAACCTGAACCAAAATCACATCTCTTCTGGCTCCTAAATCAAACCCTCAACTTCCACAGGCCAAGCAATCATCACGGTTTGCAAGGGAGCAAACCATTTGAGCCATTTTGGTATCATCATCATCAACACCACCAGCAGCGCCATCCGCTTTCTGCTTCTTATCCTGAATTGCCCATAAATGAGAATTTCTTTCGGTGAAATACACATAAAAAATGGTAGAAAAAGTAGTGATTATCACAGGTCATTACTTGAAGAACAGAAGTATCAACAGTGAACTTGATGGCATCAGCTGCAGCACGTGATCGTAGATAATACATCCCTGTCTTTAGACCCTTCAAACAGGAAAAAGAAACAATAAGACAGTGAAATTATTGCAGCCCGTAACTAATATTTGCAAAGAGGGCAGGGTTTCATCAAAATTGACTAGGCAATGTAAACTTTCGACAATAGCTATAAAATCACTTGTCCATAGCAAACAAATAAAATTGCTCCTGCCAGTGTCAAAATCTTCAGACAAACCGTTGTAGATATAACATGTTATACTTGTTGTTCATGTTTTCTTTTTTTTTTTGGGTATAGTTTCGATGTGCATACCTTTGACCATGCATAAAAGTGTAGGGCAGTTAGTTTTCCGAAATTGGGTTGGTCCATATGTATATTAAGACTTTGACTCTGATCTATGTAGCATCCTCGATCAACAGCCATATCAACCAATGTCTTTTGCTTGATCTCCCAAACAGTCCTGTTTGCCAAAATAGTTAAATGATCTTAAGGGTTAAAAATACGGAGAGAAGCACTGGCTATGAAGAAATTCACTTATCCATACTTGTATATAAACTTCAGATCATTAGGGATTTCTGGAATGTTCTGGACAGAGCCATCTTCACAAATTATTTTGTTCTTCAGAGCAGGAGACCAGAGGCCCATCTCAGTCAAGTCATGAAGAAGATGTTTGTTGACCACAACAAATTCACCACTGGAGAGAGAGGATTAGAGAGCAAGCACAAGGCAATTTATATTAAAATAAACTGAATAGGATAGGTTCGCATAGCAAACCTTAGAACTCTACGGCTATAAATGTTTGAAGTATATGGCTCAAAGCACTCGTTGTTTCCAAGAATCTGGCTGGTTGAAGCTGTTGGCATTGGTGCCAAAAGAAGTGAATTTCTAACCCCATTCTTAGATATCATTTTCCTTAAGGCATCCCAGTCCCACAACAGATTTGAAGGAGTTACACCCCACATGTCCGGCTGCAGAATTCCCTGCACAATTAAATGGATCCTTTACGAATCAGAAGCTGGTGAAAATTACATGTTCTGCTAGTTATTGGACCAGAAGGTCTTGGAAATTCTTTCAAATGGAAACTGAAAGTCTACAGAGTAAACCAACCAATAACTGATGTTCACCAGCAACGAAAATTCTCACAGAAGACACAAATGAAACTCAATTCAGGCAAATCAAAGCGGAAATGTCATTAGTCAAAAACGTATGGCTGTGCATAACAAAAGTATCTTGAAGCAATAAAAAGATAGCAGCACAATTGTGACTTTTTATAAGTTGAAATGGGAAATAGTGTCCCAGAAAACAACATATTCATGCAACTGCACTTGAGGTGTTTGCATTTGAAGAAACCCAGCATACCTTGCTCACAGGACTTCCTTCATATGTTTCATAGGGACCTTCTCTTGCAGCAACCTCAGAAGATGCTTTAAGGGCATGGTAATAAATCGTTTCAAATATGTCCTTATTCAGCTTTTGAGCCTGAAATTGATGGCCACTAAATAATCAGACCAACCAGCTATTGAAAGTTCATGTAAAAAAGAAAAGTTTTTGGGAGTAAACATTACCTCTGGTGAGTCAAATGACATTCCGAGCAGGATGAAGGTGTCTGCAAGACCTTGGACTCCAATGCCAATGGGTCTATGTCGGAAATTTGACCTCCTAGCAGTTTCAACTGGGTAGTAATTGACATCAATTATTTTGTTAAGATTGGATGTAACCACTCCTGTAACCTGTCCCAAAAGCAAGAGGAAAACAGAAATTACTGGCTGAACTTATGAAACAAAATATGAGGCTTCACCAAGCAGAAGATGCAGGTGAGTGCATATGCTAGGAAATGTCCTGATGCACCTATGTGAAACACAAACCTCAGCTAGTTTCTCAAAGTCAAAATATCTATTCTTGAAACCTCTACTCCCAACAAGTTTAGATGGATGAGACTCGACAGGAACTCCCTGCAACACAGTGCATGACATTAGGTCACAAGACAAACATCCCAAAAAAAGCAAAATTTTCAAATAAGTTCGCAAGCATCCCCCACCATCTCTCTCACAAATCGTGGTAGAGCAATTGAAGCCAGATTGCAGACAGCAGTTTCCGTTGGGCTTGTGTATTCAATTATCTCAGTGCACAAATTTGAAGATTTTATGGTACCCAGGTTTTGTTGGTTGCTTTTCCTATTGCAAGTATCCTGGAAAAACAGAAGAGAAATAAGAAAACAAAATAATACAAAGCCATGATACAAAAAGATTAAAATCCATCAGATTTACACAAATCACCTTGAAAAGCATATAGGGGGTCCCAGTCTCTATCTGCGATTTCAAGATCTCAAACCAGAGGTTTTGTGCCTGGACAACCTTCTTGGCTTTGCCCTAGATATATGCATGAGAATTAATAACAATCAGAGTCTAGTAAAAATCAACATTCAGAAAAAACAAACTTCAGGTTAAACAAAAGGAAATTACATTTCTTTCATATCGGGTGTATAGTTCCTCAAACTCTTTGCCCCAACAATCTGCCAAACCTGGAGCTTCATTAGGGCAAAACAATGACCATTGCCCGTTGCTTTGAACTCTCTCCATAAAGAGATCAGGAACCCACAGAGCATAGAATAAATCTCGAGCACGGTTTTCTTCCTATAAAAATGAAAAAGTTACAGCTGAAGTTCAACAGCAACTTACGTTGGTGCAGTGAAGAAGTGATGCTATCACATAAACTAGAACAAGACAAAGCGGAAGCTTGCTCCTTATGAGTCATACCTTTCCATGGTTTTTCCTAAGATCCAGAAACTCAAATACATCAGCATGCCATGGCTCCAAATACACAGCAAAAGCACCTTTGAACATGATAAGCAACGTTTCAATGGAGAACCATCAGGCATTAAATTTAAAACGACAATACAAGAGCAATCAAAATGAGCATACCTTTCCTCTTGCCTCCTCCTTGATCAACATAGCGGGCAGTATCATTGAACACCCTCAACATTGGAACAACGCCATTAGATGTCCCATTTGTCCCACGAATATAACTTCCAGTGGCACGGATGTTGTGGGCAGATACACCGATTCCTCCTGCTGATTTACTGATAATAGCACACTCCTTCAATGTATCATATATTCCTTCAATACTATCATCTTTCATGCACACCAAGAAGCAGCTGCTCAACTGCCAAAAGACATCAAATATCTCAGTCAATCTTCTGCAAAAATAAAAACCTCTTAAACCAAACACCATATTTGTAAACTAAATTAAAAATTTCCAGAAGACTTCCATGAACAGATATGCCCATAACATAATACATACTTGAGGTCTTGGTGTTCCAGCATTGAAAAGGGTGGGAGAAGCATGAGTGAACCATCGCTGAGACATCAAATGGTACGTTTTGATAGCTGAATCAATATCATCTTTGTGAATTCCAACAGCAACCCTCATCAGCATGTGCTGAGGCCTTTCCACAACCTTTCCTTGGACCTTCAGGAGGTAGGATCTTTCAAGCGTCTTGAAGCCAAAGTAATCATAGTCAAAGTCCCGATCATAGATGATCTCAGAGTCCAAGCGAGCAGAATTCTGGAGCAAAAGGAAAATGTTATTGACAATCCATGGCTCATAACATTAGGTGACGCGTCAGGTAGTGGATATATCTACCTCTACAACAAATAGAACAAACCATTAAATTTAAAATGTTATTTCAGTCATGTTGACAGGAAGCAGCTAGATGTGTTTAGCCCACATTTTTGGTAACATGACCACTCTACAACAATGTTAAGAAGAACATTTTCCCTTTTTTCTCCTTTTAATTTCAAGGAAAAGAAACAATTAAATCCAACAAGCCATAGAATAATAGACTGGAGAAAATACCTTCATGATTATTTCATAAACATCATCAGCAATCAAAGCAGCCTTCAGTCCAGATTTATCATTAAAATGGTTATACATAATTTTGATCCTGCAGCAACAACCAACCCAGATCAAACAACAATTTCCAAACAATAAAGCCCGGTGGTTAAATAGAATAGAAGCAGCATGATATAGTATGAAACTTACGTCTCAGAAAATGATTTCTGAGTGTTCTTATGCAGGTTTGAAACAACAATCCTGGCCGCCAACTGCATCAGCAAAATTATATTTAATGGTTAAATCAGGAAGCAGGCCATTTACCCTTCAGTCCTCAATTTTGTTAACCTAAGGAACAGAATATAAAGTAATAATGTTTTTACAACACAAAAATAGTGTCAGGCCCAAGAATTAGTGTGTGTGCGTGTTTAATTCTGGAAGAATATTCTCCAGATGCACATAGATATGCACCAGCTGTAAGACCTAGAGTGTGCCCAGAAATCAAGAGAAAATAAAAGAGACCAATTCGCGAAAAGTAAAAACTCACAGAGGCATAATCAGGATGATTGGCAGTCATAGCAGCGGCAGTCTCAGCAGCCAATTCATCAAGCTGGCTAGTGGTGACACCTTTGTAGACACCAGCACAGACCTTCTGAGACACCAAGACTGGGTCGCAGTGGTCAATGCTAAGGCCATAGCTAAGCTTCTTCAGTCTAGCAGTGATCTTGTCGAAGTGGACACTCTCTTGCCTCCCATCTCTCTTCACCACATACATTTTTGCTTCTTTCAAGACTTTAATCAGACAGGTTTTGAGTACAGAAAGAAATACGAGAATGAACGCCTTCTTATATAGGGAGGTGGAGGAAAGGCGACGAGGGTAGTTGGATTTTTTTAAATAAATAAAGAAATCTTGGGTTTCTTTCCCTCCTCCCCTCCAAGACTCATTTAGGTTTTATTTTGGAATTTGAATCTTGGCGCCAAGTTGTAGGTTCTAGATTCAGAGGGTTGCTATGGCGGGTAATATTTTTGGAGCAGGCGAGGTTAGGTGGTGTTGCGGGGCCCGCGCAATTATTCGTCCTTTACCATTCCAATCCAAATCTGTGGCTTCGGTAGCCTACAGAATAAAATGTTTTTTCCTTTTTTTTATTAAAGGATATATTTTTTGAAATTGCAAAAAATAAAATATCTGAATCATATGAATATTTTATCTTGGATTAGATAAACTTAATCCAAAATGAAAAAAATTGATCGGAAAATATTAATATGTAAGAGAAAAAAAAAAAATCTTTGGGAGAAGGGGTGATTAGGTGGACTTGAGAGAGGATGGGAAAGGGAAGGGGGTTGGAGCCTGCTTGTGCGTTGGCGGGCTTTTAAAGTGAGCGGGGGATGCGGTGGAGTTGACAATGACTCGTGTGGATGGTTCCTCTTTTTCTTTCTACTTTAATCTCTTTTTAGCTGGAGACTGCTGCACCATCCAATGCTCTTTATTTTTTTATATTTTAAAATATTTTTTAAGAAAGATAGAGATATTTTATTTTTTATTTGTTTTAAATTAACATTTTTTAAAATATTTTTTTTAAATATATATTTTTATACATATTTAAATAAAACAATACTTGAAAAATAATGATTACCACAGCAATATCATTTTATTTGATCACATTTATGGCTCCTGGTTTTCAGGATTTTCCTCATAAGAACCCTTTTCTTTATATTATTGTAGTTTTATTGATTGTGTGTTGTTGCTGTTACGATTATTAAAAGAAAGATTTGGGGTTTTGCTGAACACTTAACGTTATGCACACGTTGATAAACATCATTCATTGCACTGTTCTGGGAGGTGCATATTTTTATAATTTAGTATATTTTATTTTTAATTTTTGCATTTCATTCATGAAATATTATTAATATTATATTTTAGTTTCTGGTAGTTGAGGAAGAACAGAGAAAGATGTCTATTGGAATCCAGCACGCTATAGACACGCTGACAGCAAAACCATCGAGGCCACGTCTGCAGATCATTAGCGCCAAGCCTGCAGATTAGCAGTTAGCAGTGCAAAGTTAGTTTAACATTATAAAATAAATTCTTTTTAACTAAGAGAATTATAATGATATTTTAGAAATCTCATGATGATACTATACTTTTCAATTAAAATTATAGTTTTTTATGGTAATTTTAGCAATCACTTTATAAAAAATTATATATGATCCTATTATGCATAATTTAAAAACAAAAATCATCAAGAATAGTAAAATATTTATTCTTTTTTAATTTTGAATTTTTATATAATTTTATCTAAATGAATTTTCCTTTATTTTGGTATACAATTGCATAAAAATTATGAAGAAATAATTTTTTTAATTAAAACTTGCTTTCAAACTATTATATGGTCTTATATAAAAAAAATCATGTTTTAATTTGGCGTCTCAACCAAAAACATTTGGCAACAAAACTCTAGAAAGAAGCCTGTAAAAAACAACAAAACAAGAAAAGAGGATTTTAACGAGATAACTTAGTTTAAAAACAAAATTAAAAGAAAAACAAAGAAATAACTCGAATTAATTTTGATTAACTTGTAAAATTTATAATTCAAGAAAAAGATTTTATTAAATTCAATTAATTTTATTTTATTATATATATGATAATATATATATATATATATATATATTTAAAAACCAATTTACAATTAATTTAAATTTTTATCGTAATTTCAAGGCTAATTTCTTTTAACTAGGTCAAGATAGATAGATTTTTTTATGACGCGCGGTTCTTGTTGGATTATCTTTTTGAGGATATGCATTGTTTATACCCTCTTCATTCTTCAAGAATTCTTATAATCAACAAGCTTTTCCTCGAGTTCCTCAAATGTTATCGGATTCTCCCTTGCTCTTATAGCTGCTGATCTCGTATTCAAGACCTAGCCCATTCAACGTGTTGATAACAAGATCGACCTTGTCTCAGGGAGAGATAACAACGCAAGTTCATCCACTATTATTTCGACTGGTTGAATATACTCGGAGATTGATCTAGTTCCCTGAAAGAAATTGGATAAATCATCTCTAAAAGCCATTCACGCTCATGTTAGAGAGAACAGTTTTATGGAGATGAACGAGTTTGTCTCGGGCATCCCTTGAAGTAGTGGCAGAGGCTATAAAAGACAACAATTCCTAATGTTGATGTTACTCTATATAGGATGCAGTAATATTGACTCTAGTCTGGATCGGAAATAACAGCTCCTCCTTCCACGGTGGTCTGAGGTGGACAAGGCTTATTGCCATCTACATAACCCATAAGGTCGTAACCATGGAGAAGCAGCATCATTAATGGATCCAAGATTGCTACTAGAACTTGACTGTCGAAGAGTTGGAGCACCATTGATGCTCTGGGATGTTTCTTTAACTAGAATTCTAAGCTTTTTGCAGTTAGGCTAAGAACTGTGATCCTGTGCACGCAATAAAGAGATTTGGTCCTGTGGTTATATCTCCGCACATTGCTACGGAGGTTATATGTACAGAGGATATAGCAATCTATATATCATATAGGAGAAAATAAAGCAAGGAGATACAAAATAAAGATTGTTATCTGCCATTGATTCTATATATGATCCCTGATCTATAGCATTGAATACTGTAGAATTTCTTTCCTCGATCAATAACTTTGATGGTGATTGTCTTGATTCTATTACTCCTGTTCTAAAGCCTTGCAAGAATATTGCATATATATTCTTGTTGATTTTGACAACAATATAATATTTTTCGATCTTGCGATTCCATGATAACCTTGTTTGATTCTGTGTTAATTGCAACCTTAAATCCATGAGCTAATTCTAGCCCATGATAATCAATTTGTTATCAATTGATTATCATAAATGATGTCAAAATATTCACTTAAAATCTATTTTAATGAGAAAATTGATTCTCTAAAATTTAAGTTCCAATGAGAAATTTAATCTTCATCTCTAATTAATTAATTTTAAAAAGAAATATATGTGAAAATTTTCATGAATGTGAGATTTTCAAAACGAGTTAAAAATGAACAAATCATGAGCTACAACCTTGCACTTAGCTTGATAGAACTGCGTTAAGAATTTGAATCCCCCGTTTGATACACAAGTGTTGGCGGTGGCAGCCATAACACGATTTTAAATTGAGAAAATTACACTATTAGTACACCAATTATATATATATATATATATATATATATATATATATTCTCAATCGAGTACATGGATTTTGTTTTTTGAGTGCCAAAACTTTATCAAAAAAATTCAATCAAGTACAATTATATATACATAAGTGTTATTTTTTTCATAAATTGTTATTGTTACTTTAACTTTGATTAATTTTACAATAATCAAGTGTATGAATTTTAATTTTATTTATTTATTTTGATACACCAACATTTTTTACTGTTCCAATCAAGTAATTTAGTAAATTTCTTCACTTTCCAATATGGATTTTTTTTTGGTTGAAGTTACCCTCTAAAATAATATTATTTTTAATAAATTGAAATATTTTAAATTAAATTACATGCTTGTAAAGGAATTTAACTAAATATTCTTTAGATGTAAACTCTTTTGATCGAACAATAGTAAGCCACCTACATAAATATTTAAAAAAATATATCTTATAATTAATTAAAACTAACAAATAAATTGTTTATGTAATTAAAATATTTATTGTTTTAATCACATAAATGAATCTCATGTGTGGTTTCAATATTAATAGAAATTTCATGAAATCAAAACGGAGTAAATGCATTAAGAAAATCACTTGAGTAAAGGAACCTAGCTAATCAATTCAGAAAATTACTTAATTAAAAAAATAATAAAAATATAAACATATAAAAAATTAAAAATATTAAAACTTATTTACTTGATTGACATAAAATAAAAACTCACATTATCAAATAACAAAAAAATTACTTGATTCGACTTCCTGGTCACATGTTAGATGCCTGTTAGAACTTCTACCTCCATGGGATATTAAGGATTTGTGTTCATTTTTCTCATACATTCTTATTGTTGCTGGAATTTACAGCCATAGTATATGAACTGGGTATATGGCTTGCGCACCATCCTCCCAACAACATTCTCATCGGGGACAAGGCTCGCTTAGCAAGCCTGCGCACAGCAACTTCAACAGTGAAACAAAGGATCAAGGAAGAAAAGGAGACGGACAAAATTAAAGAAAACATCCCCTTAGGCCCTAGCTAACCAGTGATCCTTTAAAAACGCAAAAATGGAAGTTTCATCATCATCCTGTCCACACCAACGCAACACATAATCATCAAGAAGAAGAATTCAACTTAATTCTTATCCATAGGGTGCAAAATCCTCAGTAATCTAGGTAGAGGGAAGAGAAACATTACTTAATTGAGGGTGTTTTGCTACATCGATTAGCTTCCACTACCGTTGCTAAAACTCTATTAGGGTTTTCATCGATGCTCACCTTGTTTCCATATCAATCAACACTATTCGTGGCGCCTGGTAAACACTCACAAGAGACCTGTATCTTTTCTTTCTAGGTCGAGCAACCTCCTCTTCTTTCCGGAAAACCTCTTCAATCGTCTTTGAAGTGATCTCATTTTGGCTGCTTCGATCAAACTCCTCCTCGTCATCTTCAAAATCACCCTTATTTTTATTCTTTCTCCTCCTCTTCTTCTGATTGTTATTGTTGTTGCTGTAGTCTTCGCCGCTTAGCCGGACGAGTTGTTGCGCTGCAGCCACGTCCAATTCCGTTAAGGTCATGGGATGGATTCTAAGAAAAGCTTCCAGTTCTGCCATTTCCATGGCCATGATCATCAAGATTCAAGAAATCAACACGAGAGAGAGAGAGTGGGAGATTGGCTCGCTTTCACAGTTATCTCTTTCCTCATTATTGATCTTAGACGGTTTTATCTTCGGTTTATAGGATTGACAAAATTGGCAGAGAGCGCGTTGGAGGGCATGTTCGTGTGTAGTCTGAAAGAAACTGTAAGGTAGGTTCTATGAAGATGGCAGGAAGATGGGTAGCTTGTGCGGGATACGCAAATAAAGGATTATTTTAAGAAAACCCACGCCATGACTTCCTTTAACTTCTTGTCTGGGGCCCGCGAGATTGACCCACGTCATCAATTCCAAAATAGTACTTCAAATCAGGTCCCCGGGGATTATAATTTATATGCCCTTTCGGGAGTCACTGTCTTGCCGTTATAGAATGATTTGAACATTATCTTATGGTGCTTTCTTCTT